GAGGGGTGGGAGTAGCAAAGGCTGTGGTCTGCAGAGCCATACTAAGTAACTACCACACTGCAGCGCAGGATGCCTGTGAGCAGAGAGAAGGAAGCCACAGCAGATGGGAATCCAGGTGCTGAGGAACCCACCCTCCAGGGCTTGGGATTTGAAATATCCGGGACTACGGAGGGCAGGGTGACAAACAGCGCTCAAAACAGGGGGAGGTTCCCCACATTTCTATTTCCCTTTTCCCATATCCCCACTTCCAAATGCACCATTGCCTATCTCCACCAAAAAAAAAAAGGAGACCTATTTAAAATACTGAATTTGGAAAAACTACAATTTGTAGTAAAATGAACAGTCCTTTAGGATGTTCTTGGTGCTATGTTTACAATGGGGGAGGGGGAAGACAACATGAGAGGGGGGTCTTGATCCCCAAAACATGAGGCTAAGGTAGACAGCCCTTCACTCACGGCGATGGTCCCACTGTAAGGTGGAAGAGGAGGTAAGTCCTACCTGAGCTGCCCATCCTGCTGATACTAACATGAAGCAAATGATACTAACATGAAGCAAATCACCCTGAAGGTGGGGCCTCACATACCCAGCACAGGCCCCTGGGCACCAGGCCCCAGAGCACCAGACACTGCAGCCAGCAAGGGTTTGTCATTTTCTGGCTTCAAATGGCCTTCCCAAGTTGTCATCTGAGACCCTACTGGACTTGGTGCTGCAGTAGGTCTTCTGTTTGGCCATAGCCCCTCTTCACGTTGTGCTCTGTCTTGGATGGCTCATCGTTTTCATGTTCCTTGTTTATTGTAAGTTGGGTGATGTTTACAGAGCAAACCAGTTTGCCATTCAACAATCCACACACATTTCATGGCTTGCAATCCCCACAATGTCACATCACTTAGCCTCCTCCCTGCATCGGCCGCTTCCATTCCTCCTCCTTTCCTTCCCTTCTGAACTCTGTCTTGCTGCCCTTTAGATCTCGAATGGTTCATCATCCAACAGAGAGTGCATGTGTCCCTGGTGCTCCTGTCCCTCCCCTATCCGTGGTTTGACTAGACATTGAGCCACAGCAGTACGCTCCGTGCCAGAGCGGAAGGCCATCTGGGGCTGCAGCCTCAGGCTGCCACCAGTCCCAGTCCAATCACTAAGTCATCATTTTTGAGACACTGACTTATGTCCCGCATTTTTCTACCACTCTTACCAACTAACAGCAGCAAAGGCCTTAAATAACCCTAAACTGTAGGGGATAAGTGAGTGTATTTCCCACAGTGAAATTTTTATAACATAAAATATAAATGTGTGCTTATTTCCAAGAGAGGACTCTGTTGAAAACCTTATCTTTTCAGAATCTGAACAGGACTGAATCAGCTACGTTCTGAAGGGAGGGGTGTGCACACGCGTGCACACACATTTTAATAGCAGTAGACACTTTTTTCCAACAAACTCTTCTTCGTCAGACCAAGACTTAGAAGCTTTTCTGGTCAGAGCAGGAGAGGAGGCCCAAAATCTATCCACTCAGGTTCTCTTTTCCCAAGTTATGGCCCAAGTTATTGGCTGAAGCCAGATTTCCAGGGAGCAAAGCAACCAACCACCGACTCAGATCACCTGAAAAATAATTTTACTAAATGGAAAAAAGTGTTTGACTTTAAAATATGTTCGATACCAAGTATGAGCCAGTGTCCATCCCTGCACACTTGTAGCACTGATCGGTGAAACCCTAAGGAGAATAACTCAGCCAGAGCTTCCAACACTACTGTGTCATCCTCCTCACCACCACTGCCTCCATTGACAGAGGTCAACCATTACCCAGCCCTAAGGGATGGTTCCGCGTACCATTCAATTCAAACAACAAACCCATGCAGCTGGTATAGCTACGGTCCACATTTTACAGGCTAATGAACTTGGCCAAGTTCTCAGAGTTAGTGGGTAAAAAAGTTCCCAGACTCTGGGGCCCAGACCTTCTGGACACCGAAGACCAAGCAAGCTCTTGGCCACTCCCCTCCAGTAGCCCCCGGAGAGCTGCTGCTGTCTTTCTTGATAGGTGTTTCGGTATTTTCTAAATATTTTGCGTCTATTTACCACTTTCATAATAACGGTTTTTTCGTTTGGGAAGAGAAAGGGATGAGGAGTAGAGAGATCAGTGGTTCCTGAGAGCTAGGAGAAGTAGGCAGGGCAAGAATGCCTGTCCAGCCTGGGGTCACCATCAGGTGAACATTGATCTTGCCCTACATGTCACAAAGGTGGGGCTCAGAGGACATTTTCTCCTAGGAAGAGGCTCAGTGCCTTGGCCAAGTCGATCCATCCCTTGTGAGTGCTCTCCTAGCCTGCTCATGAGAAACATTAATACACCTATTAGTCTTGATTTGCCCAAACACTGTCATATCATGATCCTGAGAATGGAGAGCGAGAGACCCTCAACCCAGGCAGGCAGAGACCATGTCTAAACTGATGAATAAAAGACAGCAGTCTGTGCACATTATTTAGGAATATGGAGAAAAACAGCAGAAGACGACAATTTTATATTGCTCTCTCTCCAGGGAAGCAAATAATTAGGGAAGGCCGAGAGACTGGGACGCAAGGGAGTTCAGCATTTTGTGGGCCTTCTAGGATGATTCAACCATTGAAACGCAAGCACCGGCGCTGCATCCGGTCAATCCGCTGCACGAGCCCTCTTTCGAGCACTGACAAGCAAGGATGGTGCGTATTTTGAGGACTCAAGTGTGCTGCACCCAACCCATGTTACTTTCCACTGCCGCGTATGCATACGGACGTTGAAGACCAAAGAAGAATCGATTCGTTTGGAATTGCTGGAGGAGAATGTTGAAAGCGCCGGGAGCTGCTAATAGGACCACCAGACCTGCCTTGGAAGAAGGGCGACCAGAGTGCTCCCTAGAGGCCAGGATGGTGAGACTTCATGTCACTTACTTTGGACAGATTATCAGGAGAGACCAGACCCTGGAGAAGGACATCATGCTTGGTAGAGGGGCAGCAAAAAAGAGGCAGTCCCTCAAGCAAACAGATCGACACCGTCTCCACAACAACCGATCGAGCATAGCAACACTCGTAGCAACACTCGAGAGGGTGGTCCAGGACCAGGCGGCGTTTCGTTGCGAACAGCATCACTGTGGGCTGGAACAGACTCAAGGACCCCTGACAACAACCACAACCATTTCTTCGTTTCAAAAAATCCTGAGACAAAAAATAACAGAACTCATCCTCCTTACCTGTCTTGTTGACTTCAGGGACTCCTGTATGGAGTTCAGACAAGCAGACAGTGGCCTGTAGAGCCCTAAGGGCAGGGCACAGCAAACGGCAGGCACCTGGTATCCTGGGAGGAGCACTACATATGGAGGAGGCCTGAGTTCCAATCTTGGGTTCTGCTGCTCAGAACAAGGTGCTTACCCTCTCAGGCATACTTTAGTCCTAAGGGCAGGTGCTCCAGGACTATGTAACTAAGAGGAGGAGGGTCAGGTGATACAGATCCTAACCCACTGATGCAAACTACATTTCAGGGGAGGCTGTCAAGAAGTAGGACCCGGGAGGTCTGGGCCAGGCAGGAGACACCTGCAGAGAGACATAAGAAAGGGAAAGAGAGACAACTTCTCACCTCCTTCTGATTCAGGACCTCAGCCAGGCCTACTCCACACTGGTTCCAAGTTCCCTGCGACCATGGACTATGTTTTGGGGTGTTGTGGACTCAACAGAGAGGCAAGTATCACAGGCATCTCTCCAAGTTCTCTGGGTGAGGTGCACTCAGACCACAGCCCAGGGCCTCTTCTTTCCTCGATTCTTGTGCATGTGAAACAAACAGCTCCAAATTACGGAATCACACATGGTGAAGCCTTAAGGCCTAGGGGGGAAGGGGGAAAAAAGCTCTCCAGGGAAAAGCTTCCTGGGTGGCAGAGTTTGCCCTTGTCTGCTACTCTAAAGTTGGGTAGTTCAAACCCACCCAGTGGCATCATGGAATAAAGGCCTGGCTCTATTTCCATAAAAATCACTGGCAAGAAAACCCAAGGGAGCAGTCCTGTCCGTAACACACGGGGTTGCCTTGAGTTGGCATCGACTCACTGGCACCAGGTTTGGTTTGCTTCCCCAGGGCAGGGGCCCAGATCACATCAGGCTTTGTCACAGTCATTTCAGGACCCGCCCTGCCAGAGGATCCAGCAAGGGGCAACGTCTTCCAGGTCCTGAGCATTTGGAGGAACCACGTTGCTTCTGTTCGCAGACCAAGAACTGGCCACCAGCTGGCTGGCTGCCAGGAGTCCCTCTTTCCCTCTACCCCCGCAAATCAGTCTGCATTGGAGCTGGGGGTGGGGGTGGGGAGGAGTCTCCCGGGTCCACGCATCCATGGGACTGCCAGGGGGTCTCTGCCCGGCACCCCACATTACCTATGAGGAGAGAGACACCCCCCACCAGGCGTCCACCTGCTGCTGGAACCGCCTGCAGGGAAGAGGCAGAGAAGCTTCTGGCAGCAGCTCTGGGCAAAGGGATCCGAAACAAGACTCCAGACTGGGCCAGACGCACCCCACCAACTCCGAGGACAGAGGTCTTCACTGAAATTTGCCCACGGGTCCCGGAGGAGTCGAGACTGCCTCTCTGGGGTAAACACACAGACCTGTGGATTCCAACCTCCCAAAATAAACTTTATGCTTTGGAACTGTGTATTTGGCAAGAGTTCATCACGATGCCCAGACACGCCATGATTACCCGAGTAAAATCTACCTGGATCCGAGACCACCTCGTGGACACCAGCTTTGATTCCCATAAGCACAAGGCGAGGACCCAAGGGGGGCAACCGAGGAAGGTGGCGGCGAGCTGCCCACCGCCAGGGATGACACGGGACCCCCTCGACCCATAGGTTCTCATTTTATTCACATGTCCTGGGAACAGCACGGAATATTGACTGTTTTCTTCTTTTAGTTTGGGAATGTGTTTTTCTGGTTCAAGGAATAATTCTCAATAGTCTTTTCTTTTTTAAGTCCTGTGTAATTTCTAAATGACATTTTTCTTAATCAAGCCGACACCGTCAACTCCTTCTGGCCCTGGTCTTCTGAATCAACGGCGCAGAGGCGGCTGTTGCTCGGCGAGGCGGCCTGGGAAACCGGCCTGTAGATCCTGTGCCCGAAAGCGTCCGTTTCCTCAAAGGCGTAGCCAGGGGGCTCGGAGTAGGAGGCCAGGCACCTGCCCACTTCCTTCGGGGTGAAGTTGATGGAGTAGGTGGTCTGGCCTTCCAGAGGGCCCAGTACCTGGGGGCCAGACCAAGAGGGCTTACAGCTCTTGGTACTGATGGGGGGGTGGGGCACATAGTGGGCCCGCGTGGTGGTCAGGTGTTCAAAGGGCTGGGTGGAGAAGTTCATCTGGGGCGGGGGCTTCACGGGCTGGGTGCGGGTGGGGGACCACTGCTTGTAGTCGTCCTTGGTGGTGGTGGAGCCCTCGAAGCGGCCTCCCTTCTTGATCTGGAGCACGGGTCTGCAGGACTGCGCCGGGCCGCCCTTCGGGTATGTGTAGTGGGCCTGAGCTGTGGTCAGGAGCTCCATCTTCTCCTCCGGAGGGACGTAGGTGGCGGGCACTTTGGCCAAGACCTGGGGCGTTGGCCACACTTGGAACTTGTCTCTGAACTCCGTGGTGCTGAAGAAAGATGTGTCCGCTGCACAGGCCTTGGCTGGAGGCTTCAAGCTCTTGGCGGGCTCCCCGACCAGGCCCCGGAAGGAATCCTTGTGGGTGGTCTGGCTTTCGAAGGGAATGTCGCAGGGTCTGAACTTCTCAGTCTTGTGCACGAAGCGCTTCTCCACAGGGTGGGCCACGTAGTTCATCTTGTAGTTGGTCAGATCCTCCAGGGGCACGGTGCGGAGCTTGGGCACCAGCAGAGGCTTGCAGCTGCTGGTGGTCACGGGGCCCTTCACGTAGTAGTCATCCTGGTGCGTGGTTCGGTTGTCAAACTTGGTGGGGGCTGGCTGGTAGTGGTGTGGCGGACCCAGGGCCTCTCGTCTGGGTTGGTTCCATGGTAAATAATCAGCTGAAACGAAAGCCAGAGCCGTCACTCAGAAGACGCCGAGCCGTCCAACCTGTACGCAGTTCAAGGGGATCCCCCAAGGGCGCGAGGCAGTCGCTAGTGAAATGTTCTTTGGGACAATGGGAAAAACAAAGTGCACCCCCTTCCTCCCCCCACCTCGACCAAGAGCTTGTGTTTCAACACTATGGTATCTGTGGGCTTTGGTGCAGAAGAAGCTCCTAAAACCGCATGCAAGGTTGTAGAGAGCCCGCGGCTGTGAGTTTATTGCCCTTTGTTGGCTTACTGACGAGCAATGAAGCTATTTTTCACACCTTAGCCTGACCTAACAGAACTACCATACAGATGGAATGGGGGGGAGGCCCAGTTGACTTACTCCGTATCATCTATCCACAGTATTTGTAACTTCCACTGGATGACCAAGCGGAAGCAGACTAGGGTGAAGAAGGGTGTGATCTATGCCTTGGGGCAGGCATGGAGGTCAGATACACCCACCACTACCACCAGCAGCACCTTTCTTCAAAGCTGTGCATAAGGTTTTCAGGGGCTCATTCTTCTGAGTGCCAAGCCCTTTTACCTGGTCTGTTCTTAGTCTAGAAACCCCTCTGAAATCTGTTCACTTTGGGTGACCCTGCTGGCATTTGAAATATCAATGGCATAACTTCCGGTATGACAGCATCACACGAGCCACCACAGTACGACAAACCGACAGATAGTGGCGGTATGGCCAGAACGCTCCTGAGAGGTCAGAATGGCAAGACTTGGTCTCCTGTGCCTTGGACCTGTTGTCAGAAGAGACCAGTCCCTAGAGAAGGACATCGTGTTTGGTAAAGTAGAGGACGGCCCTCAAGGAGATGGGTGGACACGGTGGCTGCAGCAATCGCTCAAGCATAAGGAACACTTGTGAGGATGGCACGGGACCAAGCAGTGTTTTATTCTGCTGTGCCTAAGGTCGCTATGGGTCAAAACCGACTCGATGGCACCCAACTAAAACTACCACCAGTTCTTCACCCCGTCTCAAAGCACCATAGATCCCCGCTGTCCTTTTCCAAAGGTCAGTGGCTTTTCTCGCAGAAACACTTTGGGACTTTTTGTAGGCCTTTGGTTCAATGCCAAAGTCCTAAGGCAGATTTGTCTTGCTTGGTCCAGCTTCAGCATTGCTCTTGGGGGAGGGAGGAGGTTTTCTGAGTTCTTAACTCCACCTTTCCAGAAGTCCGGATAGCCCCCTACCCGGCCTCCAGCCACACTCTGAAGTTTGTTTTAGGTCAATACTACCACCAACCGCTTACTCAAAATTGGCCTCATTTTAATTGAAAATCTAATCTTTCTCTGAGACCCATTAATGGGTCCATCGGCATCTTGAAAACATTAGTGAGCTTTAGCAGAAACCATCTTGCTGAATATAAACCACATGTTAGCCCGCAGGCTTCAGGCCTCACCCAAGTGGGGCATCTACCTGTGCCTACACAGTGCCTACACAGTGCCGCTGGTGCTTGGAGGAAGGTAGGCCAGGGCTTTTCCGGTCCTCTTTGGTGACGGATGAAGTGTTAAGAAAACAGGTTCCTAAGCTAAAAACTGCCCCATGTGATTTCTGATCCTCAACAATAGCGTTGAAACCACATTATCCAGCCTCCTAACCCAGCATTTATTACCCAAAAAAAACAAAAGAAAAAAAAACTCCTTCCAACCCTGAAAACCTCAGCATTCCGCATGACAAACTATTTACACACCTGAAAAGCCAGCAGTAAAACCCTCCAGGACCACAGTGTCTTGTGGGTAATGGGCAAAACCCTCTCGAACGGGGATTCCGTTTAATAAATGTGTGTTTAAAAAAAAAATTTGCTGAACATCAAGCAATTAAATCCTCAAGCTTTTCCAATTGCATCGTGTTTTTGAAACAATCACAAATTACAACCGAATGCTGCCGGAGCCTGTTCCACTGGCAGCTCGCGGTCCCCAGTAAAGGTGCTGACCAGAAGAGCAGCCAGGGGAAGGGCTGCGTGCGATTGTTGTGACAGCACTGGAAGCCTACCGGTGTACTTTAAATCGAAATACACACTTGAATGACCTTGGTCTCTGGTCCCCCACCCTTTGGAAAGACATGCATGGCTGTGAAACATCAAAGCTGCTATGAAAATGCTCCTTCACAGGAGACAAATTACTTGAGAGTGGATACGCTGAGGATCGCGGGATGAAAGTCACAGGAACAGACGTCCCCAGACACCGGTGCCAGCACCCACAAGATAACAGGTTGGGTAGGGATCTGTGTATGAACCACTGCCAAGCTCTGCCACCTGGAGCCCTTGTTAAATGACAGCTGGGACCGCCGACTCCCTCAGTCCTTCACTTGACCACCTTTTCATGCCATGCCCTGTAGGAAACGCTGGGACTATAGATGTTAGCACTCAAGATGCAGGCTGAGAACCAATCAACTCCTTATGCTCAAAAAGGAGATGCCCTGGTGGTGTGGGGGTCATGAGCTGGGCTGCTGTGTTCCAATGAAACTTTATTTTGGAACACTGACATTTGAATTTCAAATCACTTTCATATGCCACAAAGTGTTTTTCTGTGTCTTTTTTTCTCCAACCATATAAAAATGGAAAGGGGAAAAAAAAAACTTTCTTATCTCGGCTGCTAGATACTAGCAGGCTGCGCTAGGCTCACCCTCGGGAAGTAGTTTGCACAGCCCTGCGCTAACGAGAAGGGGGCCTGCTGGTATATGAGCCAGCCTCAACTCAACAGCAGTGATGTTGGTTTGGGGAGTTCGGCCTAAAGGGAAGCTGCCCTGTTCCTTCCCCTACCTTTGTAAGTGGGCAGACACTCCATCCTGGTATCATGCAGGTATTTGTTGTCCGGAGGCTTGATGGGGTCCACTCGACACACGGGGTAGGGGTTATAATCTTGCTTATATGTCGTGAGCAAGTCCATGTCCTCTCCACTGGGGACAAACTGCTTGGGCTGGGGGCCCTTTACTGGTGACACCTTGTGAAACCCAAAATCTCTCCTGTAGGGAAAAAGAAAACATGTGTCATTGGGTCTCTGGCTGGGAATTAGGCTGTTTTCAATCATCTGGATTCTAAGATGTTTGGGGAGAAATCATCTTCTACACTAGCCCCGCTGCTCCCCCACCTCTATTTCTCACTTCAAGAAAGGCACCACACATTGCCGTCTCCCCCAAGTCAGACACCGGGACACTTGGCCTCCTTGGCCTCCCTCCCTGTGCTGCCCAGACAGCCCTTCACCAAGTGTAGTAAGCCCTTCCAGCGCCGCAGTTTCCTCTCTTGGTTCAAACCCTTGCCGTGTATCCTTTGGCTCATGGGGGGTGGGGTGGTGAGGGACGGGGAGCTTCCCGCTTCAGACTGCCACTGCTAATTCAATGGCCACACTGCCATCAGAATGAACAGCAAGCCTTCTCACCCCTCATTTTGAATCTTCCAGGTACAATCCAGAGTTTCTAGCATGACTTACAAGCTTTCCAGGCCCAGGCTCTGGCTTTAGGCTCCAACCTATCTCCTTCCACAACTTTCCAGGATATGGTCCCAGCTGTAGCCCAGCCTATCCCCAGCCCAACCCATCCAACTTGTCTGCAGCCACATTGAGCCACTTCTCTGCACCTTCCTTTCCCCCAGCTCGCCTCCACCGAGCTTCCAAGAGCTTCTCCTGCTAATAGGCACCTCCTTCTTCAACTTGAGCGTATGGCAAACCCAGAATGTGGAGCCAACTGAGAGGCTGAGCCTTGTCTTTCCCGGCTATCATTAAGCACCCCCATGACGCTAGGGAATATGAAAACAGGTGGGTAATAGAAGCAGGTCTGTCTTCATCGCACGAGAAGCAGTCACTTCCCCAAGCACTCTACAATGGCACAAAGGCCAAGATGGGAACGGTGGGAGCACCAGGAAATGCCCGGGAGCACCAGGCTTGGGGCTCACCTTGCTCACCACGGCATCCTCAACTGCCCAAGCCTCAGCATCAACTCTTCTAAGCAAACACCCCCCACCAGGGCTTCCCCTGTGCCCAAGAGACCACTTTTGCCTGGAACCCATCTGTCTAACTGGACGCGGGAAGGTGGCTTTGCGCGGACGGTGCTCACCAGAAGGGAAGGGGAAGGTTTCCGGACAGGAAAACATTAGGCCCAAACACCAATAAAACCTACTTCCCGGCCAAAATCTGAGCCATGCTTGAGCAGCAAAGGTAACACGCTCCACTGTAACCTGTCTTGCATGAATTATGCACATGGTTGTCAATAAACCTAAACCAGGCCCCAAAAACGCTTGGTGAGAAGGGAGGAGGGAACCAGGAACAGGCTCTGAAGGGGAAACGGGAGAGGCTTCCGCTGAACTCTTGGCAGCCCCCTCTGGGTACATGTAAGAATCTCTCCCGGCAGCAATAGCGGGGCCTTCATTGGGGGGCCCTCGATGTTGTTGGACAACAGTGGGAGGCTGAGTGACCAGAGGCATCTGGGAGCAGGGTGGGGGCTGTGTATCATTTGGGTACACAGAGAAAACATGCTAACAAGAACCCCAGGTTCGCTTCAATACATCCATGCTCCTTAGTGTGCAAGTGCCTCCATCCCAAATGGAACCGAGCCCAGCAGAGGACTCCGAGCAAACGAACGGAGGTGGCAGAGAGAAATGGAAAGGCCCCCAACACCGTGTCTGGCAGCCAGTGAACTGCAAGGAGCCTTTCTCCCCAGGCTTGGTGCCGCGAGGAGTGCTGCGGCGGGAAGGTGAGCTCTCCTCATTCCCTGGGGTGGAGTGGGGTTTGGAGGAGACCCGAGAGCACACGGGCCTGGGGCCAGTGGTGGGGACCCCAGGGATCGGCGCTCATTTCCCAGTAGGAACATCAGCCAGGAGCAGGGGCAAAGCCCAGTGGCCCGCGAGCTTGTCACAGGCAGGACTGCCCACCCAGCGACTGCTCGGAGGGGCGTCACTCCTACGGAGGGAAGTCATTTCTTCTCTGAGAGGTGGAGAGAAGGAGGGCTGCCAGGCTCTGTGACCATGGAAGCATCTTTCAGGCCTTGATCCGCTCCTTTTAAAAGCAAAGAAACACAAGGGATAAGCCAGCCTGGGTGCAGTATAGCACCGACAAAACACACAACCTTCCTCTAGTTCAGTGATTCTCAACCTTCCTAAAGCCGGGACCCTTTAATACAGTTCCTCATTCTCTGGGAACGCCCCCCCCAACCATAAAATTATTTTCGTTGCTACTTCATCACTGTCATTTTGCTACTGTTATGAATCAGCCAACCCATGAAAGGGTTGTTCGACCCTCGAAGGGGTCGCGACCCACAGGTTGAGAACCACTGCTCTAGTTCTTTCATGCTTCCTGCCCCCCCATGATCATGACCGCAGTTCTGTCTTACAAATCTGGCTGGACCAGAGCATGTCAACACACAGAATGCAGGACAGATAAACCCCTCAGGCCCAATAATGAGAGTAGCGATGCCATGAGGGGAGGGCAAAGGTAGAGAGAAGGGGGAGAGAGGCAAACCAATCCAAATGATCAAAGTACAACCCCACCCCCTCTTATGGGGGGACAAACAACAGAAATTTAGGTGAAAGGAGACAGCAGATGGTGTAAAATATGAAAATAAAAATAATTTATAAATTGTCAAGGTTCACGAGGGTGGGAGAGGGAGGGGAAAAAAGAGGAGTTGATACCAAGGGCTCAAGTGGAAAGAAAAAATTTTGGAAATGACAATGGCAACATATGTGCAAATGTGCTCGATACAATTGGCATATGGATGGTTATACGAGCTGTAAGAGCCCCAAGGACGATATTCCTGCTCAGAGCAGCCAACGCACAAAGAGGACCACAGGGCCGGCCCCACCATGAGACATGACGTCCCTCACTGACCCATAGCACAGGGGACAACACTGGAGACACTGAATGGGAATTGGACCCAATCTGACCCCACCACACTGGGGCAAAACACTAAGAGTGTGCAACAGAGCAGCAAGGGGAGCGAAGCAATGACGTCCGCGGGGAATACCAAAAATAGACTTTGGGGCCAGGGCATAGCACCCCATTAGACTCAACCAGAAAACACTCCTAAAGGTCAACAAACAGACCTAGAACTATTTATAGGCTTTTCATTTTTTTGCTTTGTTTTGGTGCTTACTATTGTCTCTGCATGTCTATCTAGATAAGATAGGTGAGATAAACAATCCAGAGGTGAGTGTGGGGGGAGGGGGAGATGAGCTGATACCAAGGGTTTACATTGAAGGAAAATGTTTGAAAATGATAATGGCAACATGTACAAATGTGTTTGACACAATGCATGTATGTATGGATTGTGAGAATAGCTTAGGAGCCCCCCATAAAGTGATTTAAATTTTTTAAGTATATATATATATATATATATATACACATACATATATATATACATATATATATTAGATTTTTAAAATATATTAAAGAAACATCCTCAAATACATGAAGACATATTTAACATAATAGTTTTTATAATAATAATAATGTCTTGATGGGTGTCACAAAGTAGCACCCATTTGTTATTACAAACCACTGCATATACCTTGAATTTTTAATATTCCAGGCTTTATGGGAATTAGTTCATAACTATAAGTTGTACCTAAGTCAGATGTCCATAGATCAAGGCCTACCTGTTTAAAGAGTACATTTTAAGTGAACATAAGGATTTATTTTGTTTCTGTATTGAGACATTGACTATAAACTTTCATTATCTACAACATAACTACAACAGCCCCAATCTCACATTCAGCTTTTAACTCTGGGCATAAATATTTCATTCAGTCCAGAAAATGCTCAAATTCAGCAGGCTTTTGGGGGTGTTTTTTTTTAAGAATTCAGGTTTCCTCCCCCCAACTATCATGATCCCAATTCTACCTTGCAAACCTTGCAAACACAGGGAATCTAGGACAGATGAACCCCTCAGGACCAGCGGTGAGAGTGGCAATACCGGGAGGGAAGGGGGTGTAGAAAGGGGGAACCGATCACAAGGATCTACATATAACCTCCTCCCTGGGGGATGAGCAACAGAAAAGTGGGTGACGGGAGACGCCGGGCAGTGTAAGATAAGATAAAATAATAATTTATAAATTATTAAGGGTTCATGAGGGAGGGGGGAGCAGGGAGGGAGGGAGAGGGGAAAGGGAAACTGAGGAGCTGACTCCAGGAACCCAAGCAGAAAGCGAATTTTGAGAATGATGAGGGCAATGAATGTATAAGTGTGCTTTATACAATTGATGTATGGATGGATTGTGATAAGAGTTGTATGAGCCCCAATAAAATGATTTAAAAAAAAAAGAATTCAGGCTCTCCCTGGAAAAAGAGGAAGGAAAAGAAAGCTAGTTAAAGATGTTAAGTTCCTTTCAGAGCAGAGAAGTGGCTGTCAAAGTTATACTGCAGGGAGGGCAAGGTTAAAGTCGGACTTAAGTGAAGGTTAAAGTGGCGTGCTGGGGAAGTCAGAACTTGGCTTCAGAAAGGTGCAAGAGGAGAGCTGGTCTAAAAGAAGAGGAGAGACACTAACTAAACCAGGGTCACGAGCCTTGAAGTCACAAACAGCAACACGGGGACCAAGCCATATTTTTTAACCTGTTTTTACTATCTCTGCATGAAAACGTAAAGCTTTGCTAGCATAGTCGAGTAATCAGGAAAATTTTAATGGAAGTCTTTTTTGTAAAAAGGAGCCTCTCCTCTTGGCCAAAGGAAATCTCTTCAACCCTGCTGTGAGGTTCACCCATCAACCATGTCCCATCTGTGGCTTCACCTGTACTTCCCTACAAGTGCCTTTCTCACGGTACTTACACGTGCCACAGCCTCTCCCATCTTTAAAGGGAAAAAGTAAGCCACAACCCTGCCTGGACTCTCCTCCTGGCTCTCTCCCTCCTCTTCGCCCTTCTAGAGAGGAAGGTCAGCCGGGGTGGACGCTGCTCCCTCATCTCTGAGAGCCTGATTCTGTTCACTCTTTGATCTGCAGCCAGGGCACCAAGTACCACATTTCCAGATCCAATCCTGGTTTCT